TTTGGATCCATTTGGATGATGGTGATTTGGATCCACATTCACCAACCATTGGTAAACCATCATCCTTAAATGGTGGATTGGTATATTTGGATCCACATTCATCATATGATGATGTTGGTATATTTATGTATATTTGGTATGCTTTTGGCTTTGGTTTACATCGGGATGGTCAGCAAGTCATGTAGACTCTCTGCATTTGTTGCTACAGTCTGTCGTTTTCAGTTGGCTTGGGGAGACTGGAAGGATGTGAATCCCTGCAGTTTAAAGAGCGACCCTGGCAAGACATTTATAGATCTACAGTAATTCAATAAAACTAGTTGTTTTGTTCAAGTATACAACAGGGATGACCGTTTTTCTACTTAGGTCTTGGAGATCATGATTGAAAACTGTTGGAATCAAATAACCTCTTGACTATGAATCACTGGTACCTTCGGTAGTCATCATTGATCCATCATCTGATGATTAGAATTTAGAATTCATCAAAACTGGAAATCAAAACAATTATGCAATTGGGGTTTACAATCATAGTTATACCATGTTATACCCATTAACCCCAACTGCACTATACCCATTAACCCCAACTGCACTAGTAATTTCATCCATTTTTTTGTACTTTCAGTAGTCATTCCGAATGAGTTTTGGATCCGTGTCTTGAGGAGCTGTGTGGTGGCAGCAGCTGTGGATGGCCATTGCGCCGTGTGCGCCTTGCGTTTGGGAGCAGAGGCGGGAAATCTGGGAGGTGCCTGCGAATACGTGCAAGTATCTATATATATATATATATGTTGTATATATATATATATATACACCAATAGAACCGGGGACCTGCAAAATTGTAGGGCCAGTGAAAAAAGACGGGGTTTAAAAACAAAAGCCGGGTTCTAAAAAAAAACACTAGGTTTTTTTTAAATGTTTTTTTTCCCTTAAAAATCATCATCTTTTTCCACTTGCCCCATATGTGTTCTCTGGAACCCTCATGAAAGGTAGAAGGACTTCAAATCACATCCGCGCCCGTCACCAGACAAGTGCGCTCCATTTTTCTCCATTCATCCCTTAAGGAATCCCGCTTCGCATCAAAGCTTGTATTCTGCCTTTAACGTTCTCTGAACCACTCTCAAGATGGCCTGTCCCAGGGCCACTCTTCGCGCCAACCTGCTCTTTTTCCCCACGTAATCTTCAGAAATCTGAACAGCAAATGCGAGGGGATTGATGTACGTACATATGGGGGGGTTTCTTAAAATAGGGGCATCCATTTATAGATGGGTTGTCCACGGTTTTCCATTTTAAACCATCCATTTTGGGGCAGCATCATTTATGGAAACCCCCGTATATAGTAATCCCCAAAAAGATAGAAAAGTAAAACCCCGCTAAAATAGCAGTAATTCAATGTACTGTAATTCACTTTTCCATATTTTGGGGGGTTGTTATCATACATATATGATATGCACATATAAACACACGCATTTACGTGTGTGCGATCATCCATGCATATTTCAGCTTGCTTTCCCTCCGGGGATGATCAGCTCCACCAAATATTGGATGGGCCACTGGGATCAACCACTGGAACACATAGTTGGGAGTGCGAAGCTAAGCTCTTCAGAAAGGCTTTGAGTTGGGCGGATCATGCTTCATTTCTCCACAAATACCCTCTGGTAATGACTAACATAGCTATTGAACATGGCCATTTATAGTGAGTTTTCCCATTAAAAATGGTGATTTTCCATAGTTACGTTAGTTTACCAGAGGGTACTTGTGGTCAGATGTTGAATCATGTACCGTATCTCGAGCACTTCCCGATTTTGCGATGGTTAAACATCAAAATTGTTTTCATCCTTCGAATCATCTTTGTTTCAAATGGTAGCTTCCTAGTTTTTTAAATCTTTCGACCCTCAGAAGTGAAAAACAACTTAAGTCTCAACTCTTTCTTTACCTTCAGAATTCAAAGTTGGCTGAAGAATTACCCATTTTCAGTAGATGATCTTCATTGATTCTCCCCGTTTTCACCTGGCAAAAAATTCCCCTGTTGCCAGGTTCGGACGTTGACGGTGCGTTTGGGCCGAGACCAATGTCGCGCCCTGCGGAAGCTTCCCAGCGGGGTGGACACGCTGTCCGGAGGACTCAGTTGGGACTTGGTGTGTTTTTTTTTCTCGGGAAACCCATGGTTAGCCATTTTTAGGGAAGGATTTGATCTAGAGAAAATAAGTTTGGAAACATAACTTATTGGTTGGAACAGTCTATGTTAATCTGTATTATACATATATATATAATCATGGTTTCATTGAGGATGTGAAGCATCAAACGTGGGTGAGACAGCCAAAATTGGTTACTCCAAACCATTGGCTTCCTTTGAAAGAGATCAGTTTGGTGGATTTTGGGACCCCCAATTTTTAGTTGCAAGAGTTATATCAACGCATAGATCGACATCTTTTAAGGCATTGTTTTTTCCGTGCTTTGACGTGACATGCGGCATAATGATGGGCAAATAGGGTGTTCCTGTATTTGCACAGAATGAAATTCTCTCTCTATCTAGAATACCTTTCCATATATACATATGATTATACATGTAGTTTGTGATATATTCTTTTATATAAATACAATTACATACATATTTTTCTCATCATATATATATAATATCCATATATATATATATGTGATTGACTGAGAAAACCATGGTCTCCTGTGAATTTCCCCTTGAACCAATCAATTTGATTGTGTTTGTGCCTGTTTGCAGAGCTCTGAATGAAGGCCATTGGCTGGCAACCTGGAGATGATTGGGAATTCCTCGAACTGTTTGTCTCACTGGGATTTTTTCAAGGAACATCTACAGAAAATCATGGTTTCTACACTCGAATATGGAAGTTTCCTTTGGAATTTTCTATCAACTAGTCTTGCGACCCTGGGATAGCTGGATTTCCGAGTTGTGGATCTGTTTCGGAAGGAACAATGGCTCCGGCAAGAGACATGGTACTTTTTCACTAGATAGATTAAACAGAGTGATGTAAGCCGCCACACTCCTGGTGTCACGTGCCCTGCCATAGTCTCGGGGTCACAATCTGTCGTTGCGGATGATCCCCTGAAGTCCCCTGAAGCCAGATCACTTGCTGCATCATGTCATCATTTCCTCAGTGTTTTTCTCACAAAAATAAGTGCCCAGACAACTTTTGAAGACATGTTTCCAGACTGCAAAATTTAATAGGCCATATATACTTCCAGAATGATATGGAAGACATGTTTTTAAATGTATTTTTGAGCCCTACCCGTACTGCAGTCGCAGTCGCAGTCATGAGGCGTGGTATGTGCATTGCTGGCTGCCATGATATGCTGTCAATCTTGGGCTGAAGACGGCCTGAGAATTGGAAGATGCCCTGAGTGCAGATATGTCAAGGTTCAAGGTGATTGAATGGGGATAGAAATGGGATATAACATGATCTAAAAGTATGTCAACTTAAATATGATATCGTGTTTGGATGGATGGGGGTTCTGAATTTTGACACAGCCCTATATTTCTGTGCAGCGAATGCGGAAAACCCAACCATAAACCTCCAAGCCAGAAGGGATGGTGCATCGCTTGTGATTTTCCTGACAAAACTTTCTGTTGGGAATCTTAAATAATCAATATTGATTAAAGCTGAATGCTTTTGTGGGTATCGGTAATTGTCGGTAAATGCTGAAATATACAGATGTTTTGAGGTCGAAAGCTACACACCACTCCGAAGAGCCCATCACTCATCAGAAATGAGCAGAACGGCCCATACCCAACACGTGTCGAAATTTGAATGATAGATATGCACACACACACATACGTGGGCAAGTTTCTTGCTTCTGATTTGATGGCTTCTTCTGTTGAGCACACACACACATGTATATACTTATGCAAACTACTGTAGGATTCTGTCAAGACTTTCAACTCTGCATGTGTGCATGCAAAGGACGTGCAACATGTGAGTCCCATAGGACAGTGAATCAGACACCTCAATACGAGGTGTGCTGGGAGCTGCCTCACCCAGAAAGGACGCTGTGAATCTCAGATCACAATCATTCTTCCTTACAAGAACAATCAATTGCAACGATCATGACAGTGACAACAACAATTGCTACACCAGAAAAGGCAAGCATGAGAATCATCAGCAGGATCAAGAGCAGAATCATGGTCGTTCCCACCATGTTCATCAGTTGCAACCTTATTATATAATTACACCTGAGAATCTTGACATCACCATGTCTGATGCATTTCTATCCATGGCAGCCCGCAATTGACATGATTGATCTGTATGGAGGCCATGGAGGCTCAAAACTTTCAACGTGGAAAGTGTTTGCGATTGTAATCATTTCCAATATACAGTACACATCCGCATCCGGTGTCATGGACGATACATTGGACACATTCTTGTCAGTGAGTTGTGGAAAGTTGTTGTTTTATGTTCTTTCCATGGCTAGTGCTGGGCTTGCAACTTGGGACCAACTATGAGCTAGTCTGGGAATGCCTTTCTGAAATACCGGCGACCTCTCAGCCATGACCTGAGACCCCACGCTGAGTGTGACCAATGGACCAGGCATGGCCGGCTGTGAATTTTCAATGATCCGATGCAGCAGCATGGTACTTGATTCACTTGATCAAATTCGCAGTTCGATAGCAAGTGACTTGCTCGTGTTTGCTTCTGCTTAAGGAAGCCCAAGTTTATTGCTTTTGAAGGGGTCGGAGAAGCTAGATAGAGCTGAAGAACGCCACCTGATTCTTCACAAAGTTTTAATCTTGCAGAAAAACATGTTGCAGCGGTGCTTATTTTTCCCGAGCCAAGAATGGCGGCCTTGTGCCGGGCCAACAGGAGAGCGATGAAGAGTAGGAGTCTTAGTGCCAGATTTGTCAATACTTGGTCAGAGGCACATGACATGGGCATTCCTGAAATATTCTTGAATTATTGGGTAATATGGTGATGTTTCAACAACGCAATGGGACATTACTATGGGACTCTGATCTTGTGGAAGAAGTCCCACGGGATGAACATATGATACAATTGCCAGCTACTATTTGGAGGTTTCCTGAAATAGGGGTACCCCTAAAACATCCATTTTGGAATATTTTGATATATTTTGGATTGGGATTGTCCATTTTTTTCCCATCCAGCTATTGGGATACCCCCATGACTTAGGGCGAACTGGTCATCCCATAGCCATGTTTCTGGCATTTTTTTCGACCCATGACCTCACCACGGTTGCAGGGTTGTCAGCTTGGTGAAGTATGACAAGGGAAGCAATGTTCATTGGCCTACCAGTAAAAAATGCTCATTTTAGGGATAGGTTTGTCCCCAAAACTACGGTAGTTAGAGATTATTGTCATGAACGATGTTTGTAATGTATTTTATCAACTATTAATACAAATCGATTATATATAAGTTACTTATAAGTTCTTACAAGATCTTATAAGCCATTGGTGACACACGATATTGGTTGACTCGTACACATATTAGTGCTATAATATATATTATATATATAATATTATTATATATATATATTATAGCAAACCAGAGGCTATACATTATTAGTGTCATCGTATGAATTCTAGATATCTGCGAGATGTTTCAAGCTAGTACCTGATCCTGTTCGCCATGAGGCCGGAAACAGCGCTGGAAGCCTTACGAAGATGGACGCTGGAGAGATTCAATGGATATGAACTAGCTATACATATCATGCATACGTATCTACATGCAACTATATGTATCTATATGTATCTAGCCTATATGTATTTGTATGTATCTGTATGTATCTGTATGATCTATACGTATATCTATGTGTATATATGTATGTATGTATATATATAGTATGTATAAACACACGTATATACATATATGTAATGCATTATCCTTATATGACCTTATATATATATACACATCCTTTACTTGCTACATATTGTCCTGTGTATAGTGTATATATTCTTTTGCATATTTTTTCATCTCTTGTATATTACATTCCCTTCTTGTTGTAAATCATACCATGTACTGTATACGGAATATTACATAGCCAGCACGCCTATAGCCATGCTTGCTGCTCCGCAGGAGCATGGTACTGCGCTGAAGGGCCTCCAGGCACATGGGTGTGACTTGAGCCACTATCGTCAACAAGGCATGGAATCAATGGGGATTTTCATTTGTTACCAAAAACGACATTGGGATCTAACGCCAACTTAACGGGGATATGATATGGATGTGATTAATGTATATATTTATGTATAGATGCAACAATATGAACTGGGTGTGTCCGAATATTGGAACATGGAAGTGACACCCAACTATCGTAATTTTCATGGAGAAAATTGCGAATTAACCAGTAGATTTGGGAGTGCCATATTTTCAGACAAACCCATATCTATCATTATCTATACATTTCCACCATTTGTCTGTATGACGGATGGATGAACACCTATGATCTTCATTGATTTTCTGAGGGAACGGGGTTGAACTGGGGGATGAACATCCACAACAAACCGCTATTTTGATGTGAACAACACGGTAACCGCCCTGGAAAGGTGACAGCCCACCCCCACCAGCCGCGCCACCGCACGTGGTTCCGCCATGATGGCCCTGAAAGAGTGGACGACCATTGGGCTTTGCAAAGATGCAAGTCTTCAAAGATGGGGGATTCACGCCTTCACGCCCAATATTTTTTGGCCATTTCATGCCATTTCAATGGAAAAATGATGATTGGTTGGAATTAGGGATGACCAGATTTTCAGAGAACCCCATGTCATTCATGCCATGACCAAGTCCATCTTGTGTGCCAAGTCCATGCTCCGACGGTCCGAGTTCAGGCTCCGGCATGCAACTTTGAGGATGATGAGGACACAAAGCAACTCTGGTTCACTTTCCACCGAACAAAAAAAAATCCACGAGATGTCTTTCCACCAATGCCAATTGAAGACAGGTGGAATGTTGTGATATGTTGTGATGAAGTGCCAAGCCCCTGGACCTGCCTGATGTCCGAACACAATCTGTTGCCTTTTTCTGGCAGTGATAACACATCACCTCGTGGTTTAAATCGTGTTGCAGCCTTGATGATTGTTACGTAGTGTTGATTATTATATATCATTATATAATATAATATAATATATATATATATACATCATGCCTTCATTTTCGCTTGGTTGTACTGTATCCCCATTTTCTGCTGTTTCACGCTAGTTGCGTCCCCATTTTGCGCCTCAGACGTTGTTGTGGCAACTCGTGGTGAGCTCCTTGGATCCGTGCAGGACCGGATCCATCCATTGGCCTTGGAGTTTGAGCGCATCAGCGATGAGGCGGGCCACAATTTTGATGAACACCCAATTCATCCCCAATGATGGTTGATGATGGTGAATCCCCAATGGGGGCCATGATGGTTAATTCATGATGGTTACAATTAATGGTTATTCATCCCCAATGATGGTTGAATGATGGTTGAATCACCCAATGATCAAAACTGTTGAATGATGGTTGAATCCCCAATGATGCAAAAACCCCCTTTGAGATCTCAAAGAGCTGTCCCAGATCTTTTTTGTGCTGGAAAACTTTCCAACGGATTCCAACGGCACAGGAGGCGACAGATGCCACCCGGATGGATGACATGACATCCATGGAAGCTCTCGCCAGCCCTGGGCTGCACATGGCCACATCATCGGAGGCATCGACCTGCCAAATTGGTGGCTGGAGGCTGGAGGTTATAAATTCCCCAAAAATGGGCATTGACGACATGGCAAATTATGGTAGACACATCTAGAAATGGGTGGCTTTTCCAATGCCGTATTTGAGGTAGAACCAAATACACCGTATTTTGTATTTGCTGTCCAGGTTGCCAATGATTACCACCGGTGACCAGTCTGCCAGGAATGGTGACTCTTCCACCAAGGAAGAAGAACCTGCTACTTGAGTGAAAAACACCACACACCTGGTAGTTTCGGATGTTCAACCCCACAGACATGGTGTTTTGGTAGCTCTTCATCCGTCCCCGCAGAAACGGTTTGCAATGATCAGAGGTGGACATGGCGTACCAGAGAGCCAAGAAGGACCGGAGTTGGAACGAGAAATATCCTACCCTGTGGCAATGGGAACCCTCCAACTCCCCAATGATCAAAAGACCCTCCAGGAGTGATCGACAACGGTTGATTGTAAATTTGGTGTGATTGCCAGCACCCTGCACGCTCCAAAGAATCGTGAGTTGGCGAGTTCCTGTGGGTATCGACAATACGGGACCCTGAATGCTTGCGCAAGTACAGGACTTTAAGCAGGTTCAGATGCACAGCAGCTACTTGTAGGCCCATTGTAGGCTTAGGTACGGGCATTGAGGTCATGGAGGCCGCAAAGGATGCTCTTGAACTTGACTTTATATGATTTGATGACTGTATCATCAGTTCACATCAGTTCGAGGCTCCCGGAAACATTAAGACCGTCCCTCAAGAAGTTATCTTATGTCCCGAAAAAAGACGCTGCAGCACCTTGCAGCCCAATTGCGAGCATGCCCATAGACGTGGATTGAGTGATGGGCCACTCTCATCCGCAACAGTTTCGAAGCTGCCAGGAGTTTGAAGCGACGCCACATGTCCTGGAGGTAGCCTCATGAGTGCGTCTGAAAGTTAAGATACCACCGCAGATGGCATGGGAATGTCAGGGAATGGGAAACATGATGATGAATCATTGGTATACTATACCATGGTATACCTACCTTATTATACCGGTATACCACACTGTCTCATTCTGTATCATTCCTTATGCCTTTTCGGACAAACGCATGCGGAAGAACTTGTCATTGAGAGCTTATCCAAAGATGTGGGACCCCCAGAGGCCGTGGATTTGGATGGCTGGACACTGGAGACGTCCCAGTTGCAGCTGGTGGAAGAGACGGAGGAAGACATCAAAGAAGCTTGGGTTGAGCGGCTGTGAGCAATTGAGTATGTTTGTTTTCTATAAAAAGCAAACATGGGATTGATTTAACCAGCAAGAATTGGATAGAATGGGGGTTCCACATGGTTTCACAGTTCACAATTTAACCAGCATGTTTTGTTTAATATTGGGGGGGGTTGACCGCCAGAGTTGGGGCTCAGGCAAGAAACATATGGATCATATAACCAACCAACGCAACACGAAGGGGAAAAATGGTCAAAGGGGATTTGGGAGAGTATATGCATATGTTCATTGTTCGGTTGTGATGTTTCTTATTGTGTTGGTATTCAGCAATTGTTCCTTTGTGTTGATGTTTCTTGTGTGAGGGTTTCTGGAAAAGATTTAGTTTCTATAGAACTATATAACTCTCTCCCGATGTCATGATTGAATGGGGAGACCAGGAGAAGTGTCGTGGCTTTGGCACAAGGCTTAGTGATTCTGCCTGCTTTAGCAACTTAGTATCTGGATATCTTCTAGCCGCTACATACGAAATCACTACACACTAAAAATATCATTGGTTGTTCGTATTAGCGAAGACCAATAGACTTGAATCCGATTTGGAGTTTGTGATATAAATTCTTCAGAACAATGAACTGTGTAGTTGTTTTTTTTGTTCACCGGCCACCTGTTGCTGCCAAGCACAACATGCAGTCGAAGGTTTCAAGGCGGCAACAACTCCGCTGGCTTGGAGCTTGTGTTGCGCTCGTAAGCTGGAATGCTTTCTTCACTGCTGGATTCCAAAATGATTTCAACATAGACTTTGCTCTGCGTGCTCGCCTTGAGTATTTTTGTCGGAGGGTCCAGTGGGTTGATGGGAGGGTCCAGTGGGTTCTGAAAGAATTTCGTGGCCCATTTCTGGAACACGTGACGCTTGGAAACGGAGTAATTCCACAGCACAGATTTATGCAGAATGCGTCCTTGACGAACGTGACAATTTCAAACACTTGCACAGAGATTGGCAAGTGAGCTTTCTGTTGTTGCACTCATCTACACACTTTGACTATGCCAGACTCTGTGGATATCATTAAGAACGACGCCTTTGCAGATTGCCATTCCTCGAACCCCAAGGGATACATAGATGAAGGATACCATGATAGTACATTGATGAAGGCGCATTTGAGGATGGATACGGATATATTGATGAAGTCGCATTTGCGAGATGCACTTCCTTAGAGAGTGTGGAAATTCCAAGCTCGGTGAATGACATCTGGAACGGCGCTTTTTCGTCTTGCACTTCCTTGAAGAGAGACAATGCCGAACACCATGAAATTGATTTCCAAACACGCTTTTGAGGGTTGCACCTCCTTGAAAGTCTTGACAATTCCGAAGTCTGTCACTGAGATTGAGGAGGGAGCTTTTGAAGGTTGCAGTTCCTTGACCTTGAGAATTCCACGCTCTTCGAAGCATGCAAGGAACCCAACCTATTATGGTTGCAGATTCGTTTGCACATATGCTTATGCTATCATATGTTTAGTAACCGCTCTGTTCAAAGGTTCCAAGCTCTGTGACCTGGACTAGAAGTGGGTGAAGTGAAGTGGAAGGACTGTACTTTGCACATTTGCGTGAGACAACTTTTGAGAGTCGATTTTTTTTTAAAAACTTTTAACAGCTTTCAACACACAACAACATTCGACAACATTCAACAACATTCGACAACAATCAACAACAACCAGCGACAACTCTCTCACATGCCAAATATCACCTGGGCGCCCCATGTATTTAGCTGGTGTAGCATGAGTTCTTGTGTGCCATTGGGAACCATTGGGAACGGGTCGAAATTCTCCAGTGCCTTGACCAGCCATTTCTCTAAGGAGTTGAAGATCTTGCTCAGTTGCTGTCAACATGAGAAGAATCGACAACGCTTGCGTCAAGCCATCAGCGAGTTTCAGGTTGCCTGGGGGCTGCGGGCTCGGCTGCGTGGCTAATGACATGCATCCAATTGCGGGAACCCATCGTAGCTGTACACCACTGGGTGCCAGCTCAGCTTGTCTGAAACCTGAGGAGCATTCATTGACCCAGACACACAAAAAACCAACTGCATTACAATCCCCAAAATTGAGGTATAGATTTACTTACAATATCTTACAATGAGATTGAGATTAACACATATATATATATAATTATATATGTATGTAACCTGTATGTATATATATATATTATATTATATATACGTATATATATATATATATCTACATGGGTACAAAGATGGTTTGAATTTATTGGATTTCGACCGAGAGTTTTTGTTGGATTTGTTGAGGTGCAGCTGCGTAGTCGCCGGACCTGGGGTTGGTTCCCCTTGGAGCGCTTCCAATGGCCAGGCTCCAAGGATTCTACCACCAACTGGGAATATGACTGGGAAATGCTGGGAATATCACCAACTAGCAACTAATAGTTGATTAATGTTGATAATAGTTGATTGTTGTCTGTTTCATTGCCTCAATTGCGAAATGCCTAAAGAATTTCTTGCGCAACGAATTCTGATTGCTGGTTTCAATGCTTTCTTGATGCCTAATTAAATGAGTGGAGCCTCAACTGAGAGTTTTCGAGATGGGTCGAAACCGCTGACAGGATGTCTGATTGTAGTCAGAAAAGCATCCTTGTTTTGGGGAAGGTCAATTTTTGTGTATCCAAATGGGATAGATCGGATAGAACCATGCTATGATGAAATTCTAAAGTTTTGCCTAGGACACCAATGTTCGGGCATTCCCAGTCTGGAGTCTGGAGGGGAAAAGATTAAAACATATGAGCCAGATGCATGTATGCCAGGTGTAGTCTAGGTCTTCATTTGTATACCAGGTATAAAAAGGGCCACCTAGATAGGTAAGTTATGGCAAGTTGGTTTATACTTTATATATTGGTTTAATTGATGGTATCGCAGCGTACCTCATGCATCGCAAGATCTTCTATGAATAGGGTGACATTCTGGTGGTTTGCGTAGCCAGGTATAGTTGGATCACGGCATTTCACGAAATGGGGATGGGTCAAAAATGGCCAACACATGTCAGCAAATTACATTTATTATCATTTATTACATTTTATTACCATATTACCATATTTGGGGCAATAAACATCACTAAAGATCCATGAAGCAGCTGTTTAGGGTACCATCGCAGGTTCCAGGTTTGACTCGAGGTCGGGCTTCGAATATGAAAAGCCGCTGATCACGCTGGACTTCCACGTGCCAGGCCGGCCAAACACGATCTACCTCTGCTTGATGATTGTAGGGGGTTGTACTTCTACTATCCAAGATATTGGTGATTCATGGCCAATGGTCCATGGTGGAAAACTCATGAAAACCAAGCAACTATGGAATGACAGAGGATTTTGTACTGTTTAAATAAGAACTATAGCATCTCAAAGTCTCAAAGTCTCATGCCAGTCTGTTCTGGTCCTGTTTTTCCGATTGTTTTGCTTTTGCCTTTCATCCCGAGTTGGGACGATTTGGGCCCCCCGGTCAAATTCTTGGTGGGTGGCTTAAGCCTCTGAACCCCAAAATCCAGTCATCAGTTTGAAGGTGATGTGGTGATGCTTGTCTCGCTGGGGTTCGCAGGTGTGGGTTCCTTACCACCAGAAGACGTGCACTGCGACTTCGGGGTGGATTGGTTTGACCTGAAGGCGGCAGGGCTGTGATCTGCTGGATAGTTCTAGAGGTTTATGGGTGATTTCAAGAGACGGAGGTCACCCTCCAGATGGAGAAACCGTATTTCCGGAATGATGATTCACCTATACATAATATATATTATATAAGATTATATAAGACACAAGTATTGTGTGTATATATAGACATTGCTTCAATGTGCTCATCGCTACTCCACCGTGGTAGCCAGTCATGAGAATCCCTTGGTTTCCGCAGGTCTGGAATGTGGAGTGGCCCCAGGACGAAACACGGGGCTGCGGTGAAGATGGAGATCGAGTGGTTGTATCAGCATGAGATTGTTACTATTGTTATATATATAATATTATTATGATTATTATGATGATGATTTTTGTAATATATGTTTTCATAGTTGTTTGTTATCATTTTCTATTATTATTGTCATTTTTTGGGTTGTCGTCAGAACTTCTTTATCGTCACTTTTTTTTCCATTTGACCAAAGACGTCACTTGAGGATGCATTCCATGACTTGTCAAATGGCAGTGTGTCAAAACCTTGTACCCCTGGTGAACATCAAAATAGCTGGTAAATGGATGTTCATCCCCCTAAAAATGGTATTAATAGGTATTGACCCATAGCCAAATCAGTGACATCGCTGGGATTGGAGGATCCAGGTGTGAAGTATCATCACCGCGTGAAGAAGACTCGTCTCATGCGAGACATCGTCCCTTGCGACTGCTCAGTGGAAGCACAAGGACCCCGGGCTGTGAAAGATCAACACTTGGGGGGTAGGAAAAAAACACTCATGAAACATTTGGATCCATTTGGGGAGTATCAAAGACACTCATATCCCCCAAAAAGGGGGTTTGCCGTGGGATTCTGGCACAGTGCAGTCGAATGGTCCCAAAAAGGCACTTGCCAGGTGATCATCTCTACGTAAAGCTGCAGAAAATCAAGGATCCTCGGCATGGCAACTCGGTCAACATGTGCAACACCCGGACTGTCGCAAAGAAATTCATGTAGTGTGTTGAAAGCCACCGGATTTGGATTTTGATCGGTGGAAATCTCGGCCTTCCAACTCCGTTGATTTCTGGGATCCGCCATTGCAGTCCTTACTTCGCCATGCTTTGTCGCTCCGTTGTTCCCATTCTGCCTCAGGTTATTGTGCTTGGTCGGATCTTTCTGCCGGTAGGGGCAGGAGAGATTGTGGACTAGATTGCTCCACTTTGTGAGACGGTTTTTGATGGTTGTTGGCATGTGCAGAAAGCAATTCTGGATTGGTTGGGATGAAGACTTTGAAATCTTGCAAACATATTTATATAGAGGAGATTCCTAGGATTCTCCGAAACGCAGCCAGAGTGCATGCAGAAAATCTGATAATATCAGAGATTTGGTGAAGCTTGTGAGGAAACCCTTCAAGTACCAAGAAGATGCACAGGATGGCGGCTTGATGGATTTCTTGGAAGGTGCGGCTGATAGCACCTAGCTAACCTAGCTGCCAAACCTACCAGAGATGCTGTGGCTGAGAAGGCAACCCTGGCCCATGTGGCGAATTCTTCAGCTGATGTGACCATAGATCTCCATAGATATTGAGATGATTTAGATTGATTTCGTATTAATATCCATACTCAATGGGGAGCCACTGACCCCAATTTCCCCTCAAGATCAATGGCAAGGTGAATATGAGAAGTACGAGGCTCGGGGTTGGGGGGTCCAGGGCCAAGTCGTCAGTTTTGATCAATTTTGACCCATGCCCAGTTCACTGATTCCATGACATTCATGGATACAAGTGAGCCGAGTTAGTCATTGATTCTGTACATCATGTATAATAATGTAGTTTTTTTTCCTGGGAATCCACTACCAAAATTTTTGAAATCACGGATTGGCATATGCTACATCCATGCGTCCCTTCGAACCCAAGAAAGAATTTTGGTTCAAATTATTTTCCTTTGGTGTACAAATGTCTGGCAACAGGAAAAGAACTTTGTCACGTTGTTCATGGGGTGTGAGTTCACTCGAACATATGCCAAGTCTTCATCAAATATTATTCAAACATCACTTGACCACCCTCTGCAAAATCAACATAACTATGAATAAGTACATTTTTTTTTACAGAGAATTCATTGAACTAAGTGGACCATCTATACATATCTCTACCATATCTATGTTAAATGGGCAAATCCCACAAAATCCCATTAAATCATATAAAATGGTAAGTATAAATCCCATAAGATCCTATGAAATACAGTAAGTTTCTACTGGACATCCATGTGCTCCCGGCCCTTTTACCAGCTCGCTGCAGGGCTACGATGGCTTCCGCCGGGATGTGGGTCAAGCTATGGAACAGGTGCATCGACACCAGCAGCTTGGCTTAGCTGAGAAAAGCTGGGATTGGATTATTATTATTATTAGTACTATTATTACTATTACTACTATGATTATCATAACTACGTGCCATCGCATGTTAATGACTATATGATTATTATGACAGCACATGATTATACATTTCCACTTCTTTGTAGTGAAGTCAACTGAACATGTCGTTGACTATCACCTACTAGTGGGATACGGTGGGATATCTTATGTTGAACCTTCGGGTATCAGGTTAGAATGATATCGTGCTTTGAGCGTCCCATGAGCGCCGGGAGTAATGCCACTTCCCGGCGCTTGGAAGTACGATTCATTGGGCGCGTTTGATGCAGATATGAAGGGGAATCCTCGAATTGTTTGGAGATCAGATTAATTATGACTTATCCTTCATGATCAGATGCATTGAAATGATGTAGGGAACAAATGAGGAAAACTATCTTCTGCTAGCTGAAGTCCCTCTTGCTTTGGCAAGGTATTGGCAGGGGCTGGAATCGCCAATCATAGCCCCCCCTCCGCACCTCGTTTTTATTTTTGATTCAAGCACCTGCCACCTGCTGCTGTAGAGATTTGTTACAACAGAAATTGTTGGAACATGGAATGAACACGGTGGAAGTCATACGAAGTCATCATTTCCAGAATCTCTAGCCTTCCCCACGACGGCGTCCATGGTCCGAGAGGCCAGTTCGTGGTTTTGACTGAGGGCATCGGTGACTGGTAGGCACAAAACCGGGGAAGTGTGCGTCGCTGTGGATGTCGAAAGTGATTTGTCCATGAAAGATGCAGAAGGCAAAGAACTAGCAAGCTTATGCAAGATTCCCATTGCATGTTCCAAATGATTGCTGTATACAATGATATTGAGATTGAGATCAGTTTAGTCAACTTGCTATCAAATTTTCCCTTGCTGTCATGATTTCTGCTTGGTACGAAGACCAGGTCCCTCGGGCAGCTTTGCGCGCAGCATCAATTGTATACTGCACCGGTTTGACTTGGACTCCTCTGCACTGAAGTTCTTGGATTCTCATAGATTGTCCTTCTTGTAGGACACTGATGGCCAACCAGACAACACCTTATATAACCAAAGCTTGCTGCAGACTCCAGCCGTACGGGCCGTACAGCATACCTAGCGTGTGCTGTCCTCTGCGATCTTGACCGGGATTTCCTGGAAAATTAATCAAGTGCCATCAACGCAAGATGTTGTGATATGATGTGATGCAATGACATGACTGGTTGGTGGTTTGGAACATTTTTTATTCTTCCATATATTGGGAAGAATCATCCCAACTGACTCATATTTTTCAGAGGGGTAGGTATACCACTAACCAGATGAGGTTCCAACATGTTCCAACAATCTTCCACTGTCCAGGATCCTGTCCGGCATGATCGCTGCGAACACACGTTGGGGGACCCCGGCTTGACGTAGACCGCTGATGAAATGAATGCTGCACCCCATGCCCATGCTGCCCATGCTGGTGTAGGAGTAGGCCTGGAACAGATGTTGCGCGAACATGCGCGAGGTGTCTTAGCTTCAGCTTTCACCCACAAACCCACAATGGGATAATAGGAAAGCCCGCTGAGGCACCGGGCTTTCAGCTTGGACGCAAAACTCCGAAGAAGCGTCAGGTCACAGCGGGCTCACCGATGTTCTGGCGGAACATGTTGATTGCTGGTTGTCAATGTTTTTGTTTTCAAACAGATTTGGAAATCCCCTCCTTTCATCATAGGCTATGTAGGCTATATAGCCTATATATGTGGAACAAATGATGAAAGTGATAAAGGTATTTGATGGTGTCTGAGTCCTCGGGGAGCCTTAACTTTCAAATCGTTGTTTTACTACTCCAAAGACGGTCAATGCACGCTGACTCTATGAGATAAAGCACCCCTGCAATTTCAGTGGTTGCTTTTCGATCTTGAAGTCTGGAAGTGTGTGGAAAGCTCGGAGATCAGACTATGAATGCCTTGTCCTTCACCAGATGCACTTAAATGATGTATATATATATATGTATAGGGAATATAATATACAAACACTTGCATTCAACAATCTACCACTGTAAACATCTGTTACATTCTGCAGCAAAGATTGTTGGAACGTGGAATGAACACGGTGGAAGTCATACGAAGTCATCATTTCCAGAATCTCTAGCCTTCCCCACGACAGCGTCCATGGTCCGAGAGGCCAGTTCGTGGTTTTGACTGAGGGCATGGGCGACTGGACAGAACCACTAGGTGAAGTTAGAGGTGTGGGTGAAAAACCCAATGATTTTCCCCCATGAATGGTGTGATGAACATCCATCCATTATCACTGAAAACCAGGGGACGAGGGCTGATCCGCCATGCGAATCTGACAGACGGAAGGGATCCCAAGGGGCTACGTCAACCGCCGAGGCAAGCTTTGGCCACGTCATAGAGGTGGCAGTGCGGCGCAGGAATGGGAGCTCTGAAGCTTGGGCAGTTCCAATTCGGTCCTGAAATGTGATGCCCAGATTGAGAAAGCGTCAAGTTGACCTTAAAGGTGTCACAAGGTCAAGATCCAGCCGTGGTGGAGGAAAACTGAGCTCACCAGAGTGCAACAAGAGCTGTCTGGTTTCAAACGTTTTGTGCTTTCAAGCTTGTTGCCCAGCTGACCACTGTGGGAAACCCAAGAATCAACAGAATAAACACCTTACCCATTTACCCAGTGCTTCATTTCAGGGGTATTAAAGCATACAAAAAACTCTAAAATCATACTCTCAAACTAGATCTAGGTACCTGTACAGGTTCAAACACCCAGAGATGCCATCATGTGTCGGCTCAAAGGGCCTGACAAGTAGGTCCTTGATACATCTGGTTTTGCGGCGGGCAAATGTGATGGTTTTGCAGCTGCAATTTGCACTGCCACTACGAGAAACATGCAGACCAGGTTGCTGTTCAATCTTTCCATCTATATCTATGCAAGTGCTTCTCAGTGGTGAAGATCATTGAAGATCCTACTGCGGAAGTCGCATTGTGAGCTCATCACGGTGAGGTATAATTCATCTATGAAAACAAGACATGGATAGACATGGCACATTATGGCACCACGGCCACAATCACAGGACACTGCGAAACCGCAGCCATGTCCTTCGCCCGTGCAACACGGCGACCTCCCTTGCGGCCAGAATCGCCACAGGCGGCTGGAAACCCCTATGGTACCCCAAAATCTTGAGGTTCATCATAATTTTCTCATATTTTCTCATTCAAATGGTCATTTTTAGGGCTCTAATTCCCTGTAATCTTTTATTGTCTCCCTCTATTTGAAATGGGGTGGATATATCCTGGTGGATGTCTGGATGATGAATGAGAAGTGCAGCTGATTCAATATGATTGGAAGATTCATGGAATTGAAGGGGAAATTCACAGGACACCCCTATAAAAAACAGGTAAAACCCATGGTTTCCTGTATAGATCCCCTTAAATCAATCCATTCAGAGATGGAAACCGTTTGGGGGTGTCAAACGTATCTCAGGCGCGAGCGTGTCGCGAGAGGCCGCCCTCGAGTCTTTCGCCCAGGAGGTTCCTGCAGCACCGGAGGGGAATCATCCTCATAGCTGGCTGAACCGAGAACCGCTATTTTCAGCTTAGTGAATTATGATGAAATTCAGCCACATATATCCTTTTATAATAGGGCTGATGGAGATCGGAATCTGACTGCAGAAGAGTATATAAGATTAATATTATATAATATTATTATATAAGTATAGAGCTGTTGGACGATTTCGATTCTTGTGACTTTCTTGGCATCCCGTTTTTGAGTTGTACACATTTCCTGTGACTCTCTTGGAACTTGGAGCAACTAGTTTCTGCTTGGAGCAATTTTCGCCCTGCACTGCATCCTGCGATGCCACAAAGTAGTTTCACACTCATATCATATATCTATAATTTTTACACTTGTCTATTTTTTATCTATAATTTTTACACTTGTCGATATCTATAATTTTTACACTTGTCTATTTTTTATCTATAATGTTTACACTTGTCTGTTTTATATCAATGATTTGATATTATACTCGTACTTGATTTGTCTTGATTTATTGATTTATCAGATCATTTTTTCATGACTGAAATCAAGGCCCTGATGTTGAGTATCTGACTATATTTTAATCATATCTATGCTCGATTATAGCATAATCATATCTATGCTCGCTTATAATGATATTATAGCATAGATATGATTCAAATATGATATGATTCGATATGTATCTATATAGTACCCATATAATATACATATAGTATACAAATATAATATGTTGAATCTCTCGATATGTTTCGAGTCCAGCCTTTCTTTGGAAGGCTCCGGCCTCGCGCCCGTCTCTCGATGTCGTCCTCGGAGCCGTCGACGTCGCACCCGGCCTTCTCGTTGAGGGTTTCTTGGGCCATTGTTTTCCGGTGCCACCAAGCCGGGTCCGTGAAAAACGGGGGAAGCTTTAGGACATGAACATCCTTCGATATGGAAAAGCTGCGGTTTTCGAAGGTGGACGTAGCACAACTAAATACATGCTAATTAATAGGAAAAACCATGAAAAACCATGAGATAACTATTCTACCAAGGAAACTGGGGTTTAAGCTGCTTTAACTATTGATCCCTAGGATCTTTTTCACCACCCGACAAAAAACCTGGTGAACTATACCAGAATTGTTCATGTTGGTTTCTTATGCAGTTGGGCGTTTTATTCCGTGGATGGGAGTGCATTGGGCGGAGGGTGAACAGCAAAGATCGGGATTAAATTAACAAACACTACGAAAATTAAAGGGCCGGATAACCCCACAAGGCAACTTCTTCCAATAATGAGCACCAAATGTTGTAGTGGGGACGGGGAAAGAGGGAAAGACAAAGGATGTGGTGGAGGACTGACAAGTAAAACAAAGTTGTGTGTGACAAAGTTGTATGTGAAAGATGGTGTGTGACGAAGAAAGATGGTGTGTGTGTGACAAAGTTGTGTGTGAAATATGGTGTGTGTGAAAGTTGTGTGTGAAAGAGAGCGTGCGACAAAGTTGTGTGCGAAAGACGGTGTGTGACAAAGTGGTGTGTGAAAGATGGTGTGTGAAAGATGGTGGTTGACAAAGATGTGTGTGAGAGATGGTGTGGTGAAAGATGGTGTGAGACAAAGTGGTGTGTGACAAAGTGGTGTGTGAAAGATGGTGTGTCAAAGATGGTGTTTGACAAAGTTGGGTGTAAAAGATGGTGTGTGAAAGATGGTGCGTGAAAGATGGTGTGTTACAAAGATGATGCGTGAAAGAGGGTGTGTCAAAGATGGTGTGTGAAAGATGGTGTGTGACAAAGTGGTGTGTCAAAGATGGTGTGTGACAAAGTTGTGTGTGAAAGATGGTGTGTCAAAGATGGTGGGTGGCAAAGTGGTGTGTGAAAGATGGTGCGTGAAAGATGGTGTGTGACAAAGTTGGGTGTGAAAAGATGGTGTGTGAAAGAGGGTGTGTGAAAGATGGTGCCACGCCTGCCACGCAAAACGAAGGTAGATGTCTCCAAGTGCCACACCTGCCACGTGAAACGAAGGTGGATGTCACCAAGTGCCACGCCTGCCACCTAAAGTGCCGCGGCGTCACCGGCGACCAAAACGGGCCCAAGCGCGCCACCAGAGCCAGCCCAGTGCCATAAGTGCTACGCCTGCCACGCAAAACGAAGGTGGTTGTCGCCAAGTGCCACGCCTTCCACGTGAAACGAACGTGGATGTCGCGAAGTGCCAAGCCTGCCACGCAAAGTGCCGTGGCGCCACCGGCGACCAAAACGGGCCCAAGCGCGCCACCAGAGCCAGCCCAGAGCCATAAGTGCCACGCCTGCCACGCAAAACGAAGGTGGTTGTCGCCAAGTGCCACGCCTGCCACGTGAAACGAGTGTCGCCAAGTGCCACGCCTGCCACGCAAAGTGCCGCGGCGTCACCGGCGACCAAAACGGGCCCAAGCGCGCCACCAGAGCCAGCCCAGAGCCATAAGTGCCACGCGCCTGCCACGTGAAACGAAGGTGGATGTCGCCAAGATGGTGTGTGAGAGATGGTGTGTGAAAGATGGTGTGTGTAAAAGATGGTGTGTGAAAGATGGTTGTTGACAAAGATGTGTGTGAAAGATGGTGTGTGAAAGATGGTGTGTGAAAAATGGTGGTTGACAAAGATGGTTGGCAAAGATGATGTGTGAAAGATGGTGTGTGCAAAAAGATGGTGTGTGAAAGATGGTGGTTGACAAAGATGCGTGTGCGAGATGGTGTGTGAGAGATGGTGTGTGAACGATGGTGTGTGAAAGATGGTGGTTGACAAAGATGTGTGTGTGAGAGATGGTGTGTGAAAGATGGTGGTTGACAAAGATGTGTGTGTGTGTGACAAAGTTGTGTGTGAAAGATGGTGTGTGATAAGCAACATATGAAAGATTGTGTGTGACAAGCAACATATGAAAGATGGTTGGAAGGAGGCGGGGCGGGAGGCGGAGGCGGAGGCTCGGGATAGAGAATCAGAAACAAGAACCCCAGACAAAGTTGCGGGGAACAAGGGTGTGAACCTTGAAGCAACAGAAGGTCATCCTCCGGTAATCAAGCGTGGCAATGAAAGGGACCTGTTTATACATGAATATAGTGAACTATTCAAAATTGATCGTTTTCGTTTATTGACAGCTTAGATTACCAGAGAATACATGTTCAAACAAGAAAACCATCATGGAGGCTCAAATGGGTGCTTAAAGAATCTGACAGAAAAAAATAAACGCTGAGGGGTCAACTCACAAAAGTGAACCCATTGCTGCCAAAAGCGCAACCCACTTCTTATCTGTATCCATATTTCAAGCATGGTCGCTAGATGTTCATTCTCAATCATTCTCGGATTTAGTTTAAGATCAATTTCGTAGCAAACGATATTGGGTACAAACCATGGTTTCCGGTACATTTCCCCTTCATCCAATCCATTAATTGGTATCATCTTGATCTCCCCATCGATGAAATTTCCATTGCTTTCCGACAAGAAACGTCCTGGTTGCTGCAGACCTGCGCCTCATCACGGGCCTTGAACTCTTTGTCGCCCTGCCCGAGTTTTCAAAGCATTTCCAGGGCCTCAGTTCAGCTGCTCGGCAATGACGGATACTCACATTGTTTTGAGTACACAATTCCTGATATTTGGACATGTAACTGTTGAAACAACACGTTAAAAGTTCTAGGCAAGCATGATAACTCCGCTTTAAATCTCAACTTTGGTTGGTTGAAATTCATCTTGTTCCAGTTCAGGTCGGCAACCTCCGCCCGCAGCTCTCTGGCAAAGCTCCTGGAAAAATGCCAAGCTGCACAAAGGCCGTCCCCAAGAGCGGGAGCAGCGCAAAGGGGAAGGAGGTTTCGTCGCCATTTATGGGATGTTACGGGATTTTTATACAATTTTCATACAGTTCTAATCCGTTTTATAGGATTTTGTGGGATTCACCATCTGTTTGTTTTACATAGCTACGGACAATAGGCACTTTGTTGATAATTTATGATGATTTATCAATTATAGACAGTAATAGTGATTTTTGAGAGCTACTATTTAAATTATCAGAGGTTAAATGATCAAACATGAGGATACTGTCCAGGATACTACTATCCCAATAAAATTGAGATAAAATTAGGATGTGGGCCAAAAGTAATGGAATGTCACCAAAAACAGAGGTTTCACCATACAGAAATTGGGATTCTCGCTAAACATTCAGACAAATTAAAACCGAGAATGAAGATAGGAGTCTACCAAGCAAACATGGATTTTACCAGTGCAAATATAGGGGTTAAGCAACAAAATGGGTGTAGCCTCAGCTGCCGCACCTTTAAATTGGACCCATCATCCTAATCAAACCCCGGTATTGAAGGCTTGTGTGTACATTCCCGAAACTGGGGTGAAGAAAAATGTTGGATGTTGCAGAAGTGACATGCTCCACCAACAGGACATACTGGCTACAACTGGATGGTGGGGGTAATTCCTGCAGGAATTTTGGAGGGGCCAAGAAAGACAAATTGTATGAATAGCAAGGCGACAACTCCTCACTGGACCTCATGAACATGTATATGCACATGTCTAACGTTTATACCCAATAGCTAAATCTACCTACCAGTATTTTCATCTCCGTATCAATAATTGTTCATATATCTATATATTATGTATATTCTATTTTCAAACTTCTATTTTCCTTGGATGTAGTGATATGGGTGAAAATCATCTTCACCAAAGAATTGATTACATGCCACAAACAAATGACCAAATTTGTCGCTAGGCAGCTGGACACAGAGCTTTGTGCGCTGAAAGGCATCAGTTGTGAGGCGGGACAAATTGGCAACTGATGGTGGGGGTTAACCGGTTAACCATCGAAAATGGGGGTGAACCAGAGATGGCAATCATTGATCAAGCTGATCAGGCATTCAACCAGCAGTTCACCATCAAAAATGGCACTTCAACCATCAGGAATGAGTTTTTTGGATTTTTTTGGGCGGATTGGGATGACCAACAGTGCAGGTAGATGCTCGCTTAGCACAGCAATTAAGGCGGAGGCCGCGGAACCGTGACGAAATGTGACGTGGCTTTGGAGTGGTATGTACGACAAAGCTTCAACAAGAGGTGCTATTCGCTGTACCCAGTCATGCTGCCGCAATAGCCATCATGGTCCTGGAGCCTGTTCAAGAAAAGTACGAGGTCTGAATTGCAAACAGCAGCTACTGTAGTTAGCCAGCAGCGTCTCAGTTGAGTTACATCTTTGCTCAATGTTTTAGACAAATGCTCTAAGAACTGACATGAGCCAAGAGAGACAGCGTCAACAACCGATTAGAATGCTGGCATTCTAAGGTTATCAGAATCCAAGTGGCTTCGTCCAAAAATAAGGGTCCGCAACATCCACCATTTTTATACCATGTTTATTGTTTTTTTAGATCACTTGTTTCCATCTATATAGATTTCAAGTTGGGGGATGATGGGCAAGGCCGGGTGTCGAACGTGCGCTTCGCCAGGTTTAACCTGCTGGGCACCTCTCCGCCATGTGAGGAGGTGAGCCATTTTGGGGCAGGTTGGGGATTTACTGTGAACTTGAGTATTCTCCATAAAGAAACAAAGTTGCAAAAGAGATTTGTCAGTTTAAAGCCATTCCCATAGCTGATTTTCCGGTGCCAGGATAGATCTTACTGGAAGGCCCTCTAAGCTTCCCAAGTGGCACAACCTCCAAGCTTTACGCGCAAGCAGCAGAGTGAAAAAGCACGAGCAAAAAAAGAACAAACCTCAGGAACATGATCTCCATTTCATCTCCATTTGATGGAACTCATTCAAGTCTTGTTTCTGATCATGCGGAAAGCTTCGGCCAGGATCGCCGTTCTGAGATGGAGGGAGCGTTGCGAAAGCTCCAGGAAGAATCCTCAAGATGCAGGACTTGACTTGTCCGGCTGTTGCTGGTGACATGATTCCACCATGTTTCACCTTTGGGCAGTGAATTTCTACCAGTTTTCAAGCTCACTGAGATTCACTGAGTGTCCAGGATGGTCAAGGATCACATGGAGTCCTTGATCAAGACTGCTGCTCAGGCGGCAAAGTTGGTGATTTTGTCGCCAAACCATGCCAAACCCGTCACGAGCTTCCAGGTTTCACAGGAAGTTCGAAAATCCGACATGGTTTGGGGTATACCTCAGCAATGTTAGCGATTCTCCTAAACGAAGATCACCGATTTTCGCCACCGGGCCCATCACCAGAACGATTCAGCGCCCATTGGATTTGCAGGTTCTGACTGGTCAGGAACTGTTTGACCAACGCCCAGCCTCCGTCCCGGCCTTTGCACCTTGGACATTAGGCGGCTCTTGGGGATGAGATCCTGGGATCCTTGGATTCGTGTCTTTGGAAGCTCAAAAGGAAAACACCAGTTGAACACAGTTGAAGACTTCAAAACACTAGCAAAATAATGCAAAATACATCGAATCTGGACACTTGTAACACTAGAAACACTGGTTAATGAAATCATCTCCAACTACTCTCGTGGGTCTTGCATCTTCTGTTTGTGACTGGCACCCAGCACTTAGTTTTCAGCCCATCGCTGACACCTGTTTTCCTCGAGGCTTTGATTGGGAATGCATCTCAAGACAGCGTGAGTCTGATGTCGAATGCTGGAAAACCGTTAGATACCATTAGCCAGAAATTGAATAGCACAAGGTGATAACGTGCTGCGGCGTAACTCCATCCGTTTCAATCAGAGTCCAGACTTGGAACAAGCGGGTCTGAACTCATGGTTAAAGGGAAGAACAAGGGCGACCTATGCTTTATCCATATCAAACATATGCGGAATGTGTCCGATTTTTTCTGAACGTTGTTTTTGAGATTGAGTATCAGACCCCCGTCACAAAATTGGAGTTGTTTCACATCCGACCAACCAACGACACCAGAGACAAACATGACCATGATGCCTTGATAGAGGCTTTAAATTTTGGCAAGACACTCAACCAACATCCTATTGTTTGGTTATTTTGAACTACCTAATGCAGTTTGGGTATGTGCGGGGGGTGACTATCAGTGGCTGCCGCACGGATTGCGTTGCCAAATATCTCAGGCGATCCAACTGCAAAAGCAACTCAATGCAAAGTTGCAGGTGCGATGTGATTGGCTTTGGGCGAGGCACTACCCTCCGATAAGCAAACATGGCAATGGAAAATCTCCTATAATCAGTTGCATTTATATAAATGGGAAAATAATCTATCAATCAATGCGGGGCTTTTCCACTGCCATGCTTGATTACCAGAGGGTCCAATTAGATTCGTTTTGGTTTGGTTGGTTCTTGGGGATGTTTGACCATCCATAGCAATAAAATCCTTGGAAGTTCAATACTCACACCCAACCAACAAGATCCAACAAATATCATTTGTATCTATATTTAATCATAATTACTGTAGTTATAATACATATCATATCACACACACACATGCATATATACAAGTATATACACTCGATATTTGTTTTGTTTTGCTTTGCAGCGCGTTGCCTCCTTCTTGACCCGAGAGAGACTGATAGGAATCATAGGGCCATCACCACGTGGAAACTGCTTCAAAAGCCAAGCCTTTGAAAGATATAGATGAAACTGCAATCACTCATTGCCAGAGGTGCACCTGGAATGATGTTTATTCTGAATATTTGGCCATTCCATCCACCCAAGGGACCTCTGACGTGGGAGACCCGATAATAAACCTACCAATTAGGGATGATAGTTATCACATGTTATCACCCATTTATAGTGATTTTGGGGAGGCTTGATTAATGACATTAGTGGCTTTACCACACTATCCTTTATCACATTTGATCACCATACAAAAAAAGCCACGGCGGGCTTCGTCACCAGGAGAGTCGAGTCAGATGTCGCGAGAGCGCCAAACTGGGTCTGGAGAGCTTGCGGAAGACCGAGCTTCGTGACCCAGCTGAAATGGGGGTAGAAAAGCCTCTGGTTCTGACTAACAGTTTGCCATGGTATAGATGGCCCATAGAAATAGATGGTTTACCTATTTTGGACATGGTGATTTTCCATGGCTAACTGTTAAATAACCAGATGGTATCCAATATTTGGGGATTTATCCAATGAAAACAAGGTCACCAGGCTTTGAAGCAATGGATGAACTAGTGTTCCATAGTTGTACAGGATGTACAGACAAAATCATGGAATGTTCGGAACGTCCTATTGATTTCCAATGGGTATCCCATTTCTTTCCAGTTTTCGCCAGGTGATGTGGAGGACATGGCGCCTTTCACCCTGTCCCTGTTGGGAAGCCTTGGCATTTCACCACGTGAATCTGACAACGGTGGAGTTACCCTCACGGCCATTGAACAGTGGGGAACAAGATTTTCAATATATGGCATTAATATGGCCTCTGATTAAGTTATCCTCATGAATTTTTGCAATGTCCTGAATTTTCGGCCAAGCCCATGTCTAAGAAATGGTTTGAGTAATACTGTATGTATGTTTACAGAGATGTTTTGTCAAATTGTGGTGAGAGTTGGGTAGTGCAGTTGAGTTTCTGAAGCCCAGCACTGCTGTATGTGGGTCCAGAAATCCACTGGTTCATCAGAATTGTCCTTGAAAAAAGTTGCCATGAATTGCGGGTTTACCGGTTTACCTCATTTTTCAGACAAACCTAGTAACCCAGTACTCCAAAATGGGAATACCATGGAATACCATATTTTGGGGGAATTAAGATCCACTTACCAGCTATTTTAGAGGTCACCATATGGCTTTTTCAGGGCGAATAGAAAAAACCGAGGCCCTTGCCTGCCACTGCTCAGCTGGCTGCAAGCACTGCTGCGCTGCAACTGGTGGATGCTTGGGTGAACTGTGGGCTCGCTGCCATTGCTGGAAGCACTATGCATCAGGATACCTTTAGTACATATACTGAGTCCCCATATATGATCGATTATATATATACACACATATTGCTTTATATATATATATGTATATATATATATACATGTATGTATTATAAATGGGTGTGTCTGAAAATGGTGTATACTGTTTTTGTGCTCATGAAATCGCCACAGTAATAGGAAACATGATGATACATTGATAAACCACGGGACTTTTTTTGGGACCCTATTTTCAGACACACCAGCATACAAATATATTATAAATTATATATATATATACATATAATATACATACATACCTCTACTGTATATGTGAGTTGTGAAAATTCCTACAGGTCCTACTCCTCGAGCGGGATGTAAACATTTTGCCAGCACGGGTGATCATCAGGTGGGGTGATTCTTACCCTGTACGAACGGCCTGAGGAAAAGCTTCGGCACAAAGAGAAGGAGTGGCTGGTCGACATTCAGCACATCCGCAGCTGGAATGTACCCACCGAACAGCTGGAATTGGCTTGATGGTGGGAACATTGCCAGCTCAAATCGGCGTGATATTCGAAGTTGTATGGCATTGCAGTGGACTTTGTTGAAATTGAGATACCACAGTTGAGGCCCGCCTTGCAGTGGCCGGACCGACTCCCTGTGGGTTGGGCTTCGCCGCTAGCCTCCTGGCTTTCTTGCAAGTAGCCACAAGGAAATGTCCAGCCTGTAGAAACTAAATGAAGAAGCAGGAAATCCACAGTGTCCAGGGAGGAATCATTATTGATTTCTCAAAGTTTCTTGTCTTGTGTTTTTGAAACCTTGACCACTTGACCACTTTGTGGAATTAGAGTGGTCACTGTTCCCATCAGCTTCCGTGATGTGCAGGAACCGATCCCATGCTTCCACGGTGGTTTGGATGACCTGCAGTGTGAGGGTGTCCCAGTGAGCTTTCCTTACTATTTTTGAACGATAGTATGTACATGTACGTATCATTTCTTTTTGGTTCAGTGGATTGAAATCACCAACAAACATCAGCAAGCTAGAATCGGCTTGCATGACATTGGACACGTACACAGTGTCGATTGTCCAGGGTTCCCTTTTCAGCGCTGAATGGCCAGTTTAGCTTTGCTGACTTGCCATTGCGGAGGCAGCACTATTATTTTTGTCTCTATCTTGGAGTTTATATCACCAAGACAAGCTTCAAGCAAAGCTAAGCAGCTGAAGCAGCCTTCGCAGCACGAGAACTAGAGCCACATCTAGCAGCGACAGCAACAGGAGTAGCAAGGATGGTGACGACAACAGTAACAATCACAACGGCAAGGAGAACCCAACGATGACGAGCACTGCTGCAGCCAAATAGTCGGAAGCAGAGAAGAAGTCAGAAGACATCGAAGACGGAGAAGATTCAGATGCGGAAGAGGAGGATTCAGAAGAAGAAGATGATGATCGCAAGCACGAGAACAAAACCAGGAATAAGAACCATGACATCATATGACATCGTGATATTGAGTACAAAAATGTATTTCCAAGACAACCAGAAACCCAAGTACCGTTGCCGGGAGGGATGCCATCCGCGAGGCCGATGGCCAGATGATGCGGTCATCAAAGAGGAGGAGGACTGCTGGGGTGCCATTGGGAGCCGCACACCACGGGCATGTCATTACTGTGGTGTGTAAAAGCGCAGACCGAATATGGTCAGATTGCAGTAAGACCTCTGATGAAACCTACCATCCATTTTTTTTGACGATGTTCCATGATGTTCCTACTGAACATGAGGTGTTGAAAGTGCTAGATTGTTTTCTGGAAGTGGTGGTTGATTTGTTTATTTTCTTTGGCACTGCCAGCGTAAGTCTCCAAGTCAGCTGGCAGATATGGTCTAATGGTGTCCAATGATAGGTGGAAGCTGAGGAAGTTGCATCTCGCTGTCCAGTCAGACTGGCAATAAAAACTTGATCATTTTGCATATTTTGCCTCCAGGAAGAGGAATCGGTGGACATGTCCCGGAGCTACTCCGGGCCAACGACCGTGGATGTTTGCGCATGAGCAGCAAAAATAACCGTTGCTGTGTCTGAAAATGAGGAAGTAAACCTCAAAGCCATTACATATTATTTTTAAATGGTGAAAATACGGGAAAATGATGATCAACCATCGATTTTTTTGGGAAGTCTATTTTCAGACAAACCCAGGTCCCAGGTGGTGCGGTGACAATCGGTTGAGGTGAGCTGGGAGGATCTTCGAAAGCAGGGATCTGGGCAAACCACAACCAAGGATGGCAATCTCAACTGTGCATGGTGCTTTCGCCCTCTCACTTTCACTTTCTGCGGCCCCAAGAGGAAAATAACACCCTACATCGCTCTAAGGATCGACAGTGTGACTTTTACATTTTTGTTTGCATTGTCATGTCAGATGGTGAGAATGACGGAATGACCATATCACTTTTATGGAGGGGTCCAGGTGGGTGTCAGAACTTAGAACCCAGGTACCACTACCGGGTACCCAAACACGCCAAACACCGACATGTCTGCAGCTTTGAATCCATCATTGAGCAGATGCTGTGAAGGAAAAGTCAGCAAGAAAGAACGCGCATTTGTTTTTCACAAGGAACAGCAGCGAACTGGCCCTGCACATTGAGTAGCTTTGACCAGACATGAAATGTATTTGATGACGCTTTGAAATCCCCGATCAGTGTCGATGTTGTAGAGAGTTTGCCACCACATCAAGCCCAGGTTTGACTTACGTTTGATCTGCGCTCCAACTTCATCCGGTTAGATCTTGCCACAATTGGCCAAATGGGAGACTCAGCCATGAGACATCTGGGGATCTAATAGGGATATGGGGCTATCTCGGGGATTGATTCTCACCATACCAGATCAAATACATCCGGTTCAGTCCCTTCCAGCCGTCTCTTGCTGACTCCCAAATTCTCGGCCGCTTCGTTTCCGCGCTGCAGCGGAAATGCTGCGGAGGGAATGCCAACGTGGCCACCAACGGAGGTGAGCTGGAAAAATAAGGTGGTATGATTACCGTCTGGTAATCGAACATCAAACATGGCGATGGAAATTCCACCATTTATAGATGATTTTCCCAGTAGAACCTTCATTTATATCCATTTATTAGGGGGGTCCAGTTGCCTTGCTTGACTAGTGCATGGTAGGTAACTTTGGGGAATGAGTCATGGCTCCTACGATAAATGGGGACACTCACTGTATGTTTATTATTCGAAGAAACATGGTGATATATGATGATATAGGCGGAATGTGAAACCCAAAGTGGAAAACACAGACGCGTCATGTCAAAACCATTCAAAGCCTATGAATTTTGAACTGAGGGATGAACATCCAGAACTGCCAGCTATTTCGATAGAGCAGGCTGCAGGATTTTGACCGATATCCAAAGTATTAACGAAGACTATCAGGAAATTCCTCCGAAATCAGATAATGATTGGAGAATCCCATACTGATACCCCCAACACCACATACGCTCCTCATTTTGGCCCCACATTGATTCGATCACTAAACCAGGGCTTGTGGGTGGTTAGCCCATGCAATTGCTGGTCCCCTTTGATGACGGCATTGTTTTATTAGGGTGACATACGCATTTCAATAGAAACTTAGAAGGAAATGTCTTTACTTTGTACATGTATGTACAGAATGGCAGTATATATTGATTGAAATGTAACGGAAAGAACTCATCAGGTTCATATCCAATTTCTAGCGGTTGTATCAAGTCCGATCCCTATGTTGAGTTGTATCCCCAGCTGTTCGCAAGACTGGTATGTTGAGGAATTTCCCAAAAGAATCAAACGGCCACTGCGCAAGGTTTCAGATTCCCAGACTTGGACGAAGGTACATTCAACTTTATATACTGGGCAAAACCCACGGATTATCACAGTGAAATTTCCCTTCAACAACCAGCCAGCAAGGATTGGGTACTCCAGCCAGGTACAGTGTCACTTGATGGAAATCTCCCGACCTCCCGGCGAGGTCTGCAGGGAAGCAACCAGGTCTTCACAGCATAAATTTGGCCCTCCAATATTGGTGACCGGTGTAGCTGTACCAAGATCGGTGATCAACTGGCCAGCTGGGATAAGAACAGGCAGCGAAGATTCAGCACTTGCCTGCTATTCAAGCAAGAATCTAAGAATCTGGCACGTTCTTGTCCTCAGATCTTGTGAGGGAGAAACAATTGCCTCTCATATCTCTCATCACGTAAGGCTGTAAAGTTCCTGTGGAGTGACCGGAGCGTAATCAAGCTTGAATAGCCGAATAGCCATGTCGCGGCGTTCTTAAGAACACTGTGTTCTGAACGTAACATGCATCAGTCAGCAATTTTGTAGTTTCTTAAATTATGTTTCTTAAATTATGTTTCTTGTTCTCATTCTTCCTCAAGGGCGTGATTGCTAAATGGGCAAAGATGTCACCATATGTCGGACCAAGAACCTTCAGACAGTGCTGCTGAAGTGCTGATTTTAGCTCCAGGCACAGGTTCTGTACTGCCCGTGCAGGTGCCCCCTGAGCATTCGTGACTCAACTGCAAACATCCCACCAATTTAGCACACCAAAGTATGATTTGTACCATTCATTTAGCGAATGAGCCAGATTGATTGTGGCCATCTACCCATTTTGTGCAATGTCATGTCATTTGACACATGGGAGGCATTTGTGGTCCGATGAATGACATAGTTGGAACTGCGGAACGATAGAGATTTCCGGCCAGTTGCCGCGCCGTAGGGGGTGTACTGGTACAACCCCAACAGTGGCAAGATATGTGGGCAAAGTCATGCAAAAGCCCACTTACAACTGACTTACAACTCCTGAAGGACCAGATCTTTCATTTTAATCATTTTAGTTGGTTATCATTTCCGCATTGCATCCGCACTTGCATTGCTGAGATCTCAAAAGCCTTCACAGGGTTTTTCTAGATCCTTGACATCTAAGCAGCCGTAAGCAGCCATCAGGAACTGGCTCCTTCGACTGGGCACGCCTAGAGGCCACCATCATGGACCCAATCTGAGGGAGTTGCTGGAATCTGGGGATGGAACCACCATCAAAAAAAGGATACCAACATATACCGACATATACTGACCAAGTCCCATTGCCGGTGCCGAAGTGTCTGCGAAGATCCCGTAGACAAATTTTGGCAACGGGCCAGACATGGGACCCAGTTCAGAACATCTCAGAACGACAAACAACAGCGGGTTCGGAGTCCGGAGGTCTTCCATTTTTACTCCGTGCCATTCGATGGGCAAAAAACGATCCTTGCAACTGTAGAAAAGTCCCTAAGAACAGCCACGGTTTCCTGTATTTTTTCCCCACTGAAGTCACGGCCCAGCGGATAACCCTGTGACGCAACAGGCTCGCGCTCCGGACTCTTGAGCTGCAGAGAACAGGCTGGGTTTGTTGTGGCAAGTCGGTGATGATGCATCGCGGTATTGTTTTTTTTCTCACAACAAGGGTGGCTGGTTGTGGTGGATGATTTTCCCGCCACTCTTACTATGGAAAATTAATGATCAGGTTTTGATCCATCCTTATATCAGTCACATCCCAATCAAAATCCATCCAAAAGCTTGGGTAAGTCCCATGAAACCTCCAGTTTTGGATCGTAATTGTTTTACTTTATATTTATATAGTTCAGCCATGTTAAGCCCATTTGGTTTCTACATATGTACATATATATATAATATAATTATGATATTATATATATACATATTATATTGAATAGATGATGATAGATGTATATTGCGAATCCCACTTTGGGGCAACCCATGAACTCATTGTGAGTCGCCAGGCGCGGCATGCCATCCTCTCCTGGCGGCTGAAACGGCAACTCAGCACGCAGGAGATGCATCTAGCTATTTGCATCAGCTATAGGCTATCTATATCATAAACATATTATTAATTGTATGTATATATATACATATAATGAATTGTGTTTTATATATGTATATGTATATGTATATGTGTAGGTTTTTGTATTTTGTATGTATAGATAATCTATACTCAATGTAAGAAACAGCAAAACCCATGCAAAGACACAGTGTCAGTCCCGAAAAGGTGGAAAAAACGGTCAGTGTTTTCTTTTGTCAACTGTTTCGTGGACCTGAACTTGTATAGACATGTAAAGACTATCTGGCAGAAAAGCGGAACAATATATATATAACAACAGCAATAGTAATGATAATGACGATCAAAATGATAATAATAATATATAATAATATGATCAATATGTACATATATATATACATGATATCGTTGACGTGCCTTTCCACGCAACACATGTTTTTTTAGGAATGGGTTTATAAAAAAGGCCCCATTCCCAAATGCCTTGGCGATCCATAGCCCCGATCCATATGCATGATCCATTCGTCTCAAAGGGGATATGATCCATACTCAAAAATGGCAAGTTGTTATACCCGGCCACTTTAGTATACCTTATATAGGAGCTCCGGATCGAACCTCTGATCACCGTAACGCACTTGTGACGTCCGGATCACCGTGGATCTCTCTGATCTCAGGCCCTATTTGATTTACAGTTTGGCGTGTGCCGCTTTGATGCTGGCTCTCTTGGCGGGCGTTCCCAGGGATGCCATCGACGGTACATTCAATATACAAAATTGTAAGATTTCAGCACTGAAACACGATGTGTGTCCTGCCTGAAAGCTTCTTCGTTTGAAATGTTAAATATACCTAAGACGTCCCGAGAGATGCTGAGAGCAACTGGAGAAACTGGTGGATTTCACTGCTGGCCAACACCATCAGGTCTGGAACATTGTGAAAGGAGTCTGGATCTCAGTTTCGCCTTTTCGCTGCGTTGAAGATTTCAGGCCTTAGACCTTGGCACAGATGTACGTAACGTCACCTGGGGTCATCAACATTTGAGCCCCCAAGCTTTGACCCATCTGCATTCAGCTGCCCTTAGGGCCCTTAGGTAATCAATCTCTGAAAAATAGACAACATTAGACAACCCATTTTCATCCCATCATTTTTTAACTTAAGTTGCCTATTCAAAAACATATGGTGGGCCTGGTGGGTGGTGAGATTCCTGGGACACCGGTCGGCCTCTGAGATCCAGAACAACTGGAACCTCCCGCAGTGGAAACACCATCGCTGGGAGGAGATCTTAGAGGTGACCGTTGGAGTTGCGCCATGCCGGTCATGTTTTTATCGCAAGGATGGCGATCATGATACGTTGTGTGGATTGGGAGTGATACACACTCTTAAAATCCTTTATATAAAATTATATATATATATAATATATATATATATACATATTAAACACAGCACCTAAATGATCACCTATGCAAATAGCCTCCTCTATCACACCGGAGCTGCATTCTGCCCACCTTGATGGCATTCACGCAGCTTGCCGCCCTGCCAGCATCGTTGTCGAAGTTCTTTTGACCCTGCGAGTGCTTGGCGTGCGGCTGCCAATCTGAAGCCACCAAGCATTTGAAGCTGTCCTTACCACTTCAATAGTAGTTCCATGCAATTCCATCATGAGAGAAGTGAGATTTCTGTTTGAATCTGAGGTGGACTGTATGTTTTACACCAGATCAGTGCTTTTCCGTGGTGGACCTGTTTCATGTGACCGTAGTTCATGGTAGTTACGGACCCTTAAATGGGAGATTCCATGGGTCATCATGGGACCATGCCGAGGATCCATTGCTTTGACATGCTTTGACCTAAGACATCCTAAGACTATTGCAACGCTTTTACATCATCGCTTGCTGGTCTTCACAGGTTCGCGACTTCTGTGCCAATCCCTGGTGTGTTTTCGATGCGTCCGGTCTCTCAGATGCACCCAGATGCA